ATGCCTAGAAAGAATAGAGGTGAATTTGGATGTTTATCATTGAAGTGTCTTGCAACAGGGCTGGTTAGATCATTCCTCTTTGTGACTTTTTCATCTTCTTCACGCACCTTGGAAGTAGGTGAAGTTGTGCCAGAAATATTTGCTGTAACATTTAATAGGTGACAACAACAACCTACATCTGAACACAGCCAAGGCCAAGGAGTAATCGACTTCAGAAGAACAAAGCAATCTGAGCACTCCGCCCTCTACATTGATGGGAAGGGATAGAAAGGGTAGAAAGCTTTAGGTTCCCTGGGGTCCATATCTCGGCCAACATTACCTGCTCCACAAACATTTTCCACCAGGTAGGAAAAGCACAACAAAGAATGTACTTTGTCAGGAAGTTGCATCAGGCCCAATTAGACCAAAAACTGACTGCTAATCAACTTCTACCGCTCCACCATCGAGAGCCTTCTGACCTACTGCTGTACACTCAGGTTTAACTGCTGTACCGTGGAGGACAAGAGAAAACTGCAGCGGGTGGGGAGGGCAGCAGTGCAGGCAATTGGCACTTCACTAACTTCAGAGACATTTATACAGGTCAAAGACAAACAGGCTCAATAGAAACATGCCCTACTTCCACCCTGATTGAAGGTTAACGGTTAACTGTGCTGTTAACATTTATGGACATTTTAACTGTATTTATAAACTGCATTTATTGTAGTATAATGCAACCAGCATTCCTACCTCTAGTCCTAGCTCTTACTCAGAGTTCACTAACATCACATTGCACCCTATATTGCACCTGCTCTTTTATATAGCATATATAACTTGTATATATACCTTGTACATATCTGTGTAGACACTTATGTTATTACATGCAGTCACTGTGTAGGCACGATAAATAAACAATTTTCCACAAACTGCAGACAATTTTTTTGTTTCCTTGCCAGCTTTAGTCAGGCATTGGAAAATCTCATTAAATACTTTTTTTTTTTTTAATCTACCAAGATACAATTTTTTTTATACCCTTGATTTCTCCCTCTTAAACTTCAAGTCCATTTTTTTGTTTCTCTTTTTTTTCTTTCTGTTTTTTTTTCTCTTATTTTAAAGGAATTTTAATGTTAAATTTCTATATGCTGCTAACAGAGAGATGCCAAACTGTGTTTCACTGTTCTTGTAACGGTGACAATAAAGATCTATTCTATTCTATTAATCATGATAGATCACATGAGGTTAAATGATCTCAAGTCACAGATATATTGTTATACCTGATCACACTTTCAAATATGGAGCTGGATGTGACCCCTTTAAAGGCCCAGGGTGCTGCAATATTTTTTTTTGGGCCACAATGAGCACCCCAAAAACACAAACTTTGTCATGATGAAGCTTCAATTAATTTCACTCGATAATAAAATTACCATAAAACCCTAAATAATTCACGGAAAGACTCTCAAACCGACCTGATGTAACATTCCAAGCACACGGTAATTTTAACCACGACTGCACTGTTACTGCAGCTTTAAAGGAAAGGCTGACACATAATTATCTTCGAGACAAACAGAGTTTTTACTCACCAAGGGGAGGGTACTGGGAGAAGCTCTCGACACACATGGGTTTTCCAGGCACCATGGTGATGATGGCGGCATCTCCTGACTTCAGAGCCTTGGGGTTGTCCTCAAGCTTCTTGCCAGAACGACGGTCAATTTTCTCTTTGAGCTCACTGAATTTGCAGGCGATGTGAGCGGTGTGGCAGTCCAGCACGGGGGCGTAACCCTGGGCGATCTGGCCGGGGTGGTTCAGGATGATGACCTATGAAGGGAGAAATGAGGGAAGTGTTGTACTTAGAGATCA